AGGTTTTGAAATTAAATAGAATACACACTTTTTAAAAAGGACTTGTAGGTAATTTGCTCAATTTATAATTATTTTTTAGGTTGAATTTGGGCAGAAATAGAGGTTTGATGATAAAACCGAGACAGACTTAGACAAATATAAAATTTCTTATTATATAAGTCTATTTTGGTAACATAATTAAAAGTTAGCTTTTTTATTTTTTGACGTTTTTGAATTACATCACTTCTCTATTTTTTTTTATATATTTTTCAAAAAAATTAAAAAAAAAATTAAGGGTGTGTTTGGCTTGTGTTTTGAGATAAATTTTCAAAAAAAAAAAAAATGGAGAGAAAGTTTAGAAATTTTTTTAGTTTGTTTGGTTGTATATTTTGAAAATAGTTTTAGTTATAACTTGGTATCAGAGAATTTTTAAAAAAATTCTCAAAAATTATATCTGAAGATACAAATCAAACAAATCTTAAAAAAATAATTTTTAACCTACTTTTTAAAATATGTCATCGTATCAGTACGACGGGAAATTATTTAATATTTCTGGAGTATTACGTGTTTGTACTCATTAACCAATCATTAATATGTCTTCTTATATTTCTTAAACTAATCATCATTTAATATGTCTACTCATATTTTCCAATCACCCAATACAATAATACCTCACCTATCCACTTTCTTCACCAATTATAATATTATAAAATATCACATATATATATTTTAAAATTACTGAATAATTATCCCAATCCGACTGGCCCCGCCCGACGACTGACTACACCCGACGACTGACTCCATACCTCTCTATACCAATCTCATCCAATTCAAACATCCCACCGCCGTATTTGACTGTCTAACCTATGTTGATTTTCCAGTAGGGGAATGGAATGCCAAAAATACTTCACACAAATATATGTATATATATATATCAATGTAATTTTACAAAAATAATTACAAATTAACAATAAATTTTTAAAAAAAAATTAATAACTAAAATCATAAGATTTTCAGTGTAGTTATAATTATTTTAGAGAAATTTAGTCAAAATTCTTCCATTAATTTATTTTTCTTTATAAAGTCCTTAAGGAGAAAATATATAATTAAATAAGGATAAAGTAAATCTTTTTTTTTTCTTGGACAATGTTACCAATGTAACATTTTACAGTCAAATACAATAACATGTTACTGTGAGACAGAGTAACATGTTATTGTCAAATGGAGTAATTGTCAAACAGAATAACATATTACTATAAGACAGAGTAATATGTTACTGTCAAATAGAATAACATGTTATTGTTACTGTTTATATCAATTTCAAAGGTAATAAAAAAAATTTAGAATTTCACAGTCAACATGAATCTTATTTAATAGATATTGATGAGAGAATTTTAAAAATATTAATTTTATTAACAACCGATACCTACATCAAAAGTTATATTATTTTAAAATTTAATATTTTGATAAATAATGCTTATTGGACTTTTCAAAAAAAAATTATATTTATCTTTAATGCATTAAAATTTTATTAAAAAAGTTTTGACCAAATCTCCCATTATATTTTACAAATATATTAAATTGTAATTCTCCAAAAAAAAAAAAAACAAACAAACAAAGAAACAAAACAAAACAAAACAAAACAAAATATGTGTGTCAGATAGAAAGTAAAGAAAGAAAACAAACATGCCCCTCGATCATCGTGAGGGGTTGGATCCGAAATAGTTGAGAGGCGTTGATTCTGCTACAAATTCACAAAACAACAATACTAGAGAGTCACAATTTTTGTAGTTATAATGGTTCAAAATTGTCAAAACAACGTCGTTTTGGCATATTTTGCACCCAAAATGACGTCGTTTTGACAATTTTGAGCCATTATGACCACAAAAATTGTGACCCTCAAACATTTTCCTTCATAAAATTCACTAAACAAAAAATGATTTATATCTAGTGTGAGTGTGGCATACATTTATTAATTTTTTTAGTAGTTTATATTATTTTTGTTTTTAAATTATTACGTAACGTTGTTTCCCTATTTTTTTTGACTAATAAAAAATAATAACATAAATCCATCTTTTGTATCTTAGATAGGCTTGGTTTGAGAAGTGAGTTGATTTTTTGACTTTTTAATTTTTTTGATTATTTTAACATGAGACTAAAAAGCCTAGTTTGAAAAGGGCTTTTGACTTTTTAAATTTTTTTAAATTTTTTATGAGAGAAAGAATGTAATGATTATGGATTGAATATGATGTTTTGTCTTACTAGACTAAAAAATCTATTTTGTTTTTTGTAATTATTTTAGTCAAAAAAATCCAAAAGTTGACTTCCCAAACTAAGCTATGCATAATAAAAAAAATCAGTACGTCTCAATCATAAATTTTTTTTGTTAGGTTATTAATATGAAATATTATGCAAATAATATAAGTAATATTTCCAAATTGTTAAATAATTACCCTCATCATTTCACTTTCTTATATGTAAACGCCAAGAAATATTTCTAAATGAGCATTGTTATTAAAAATAATAATCTTTCATATCTATATAATAAAGGAGAAGGGATTTTGAAAATATGTAAAATATATAAGAGATACATTTCATTTTAAAGGCTTAGATCAATTATGATACAAATCAATGGTTGAGATTATTTCAATTCCCGCCCAAACACTCAGTGCTCTCTTCCACCTACCCACGTCTCCTCCCCCATTCCATCTCTATCTCCCTCTTTGTTCCTCTCCTGTGAAATTTCCCACAGACACTACCTCTCTCCTTCTCTCTCACCCAATCTCTGCCTCTCCCCTTCTCCCCCCACCCTCCCACTCGCTGCCTCTTCTCCTCTCCCCCCTTTCTTTCGCAGAGACGCTACCTCTCTCTTTCTCTCTCACCCGATCTCTGCCTTTCCCCCTCTCCCCCTACCCTCTCACTCGCTGCCTTTCCCCCTCCACTCGATCTCTGCCTCTCGCTGCCTCTCGCTACCTTTCTGAACCCCGATTGGAGCTCTCTGGTAGAGCTACTTCAGAGCTACACCAAACCTGAGTCTTCTATCTGTGCAAGGTAATATTTCTGTCTCTATTCCCCTCCACCCGATCTCTGCCTCTCGCTACCTTTCTGAACCCCGATTGGAGCTCTCTGGTAGAGCTACTTCAGAGCTACACCAAACCTGAGTCTTCTATCTGTGCAAGGTAATATTTCTGTCTCTATTCCCCTCTTTCAATTAATCTACTGTTAATTTCTGAGTTCTGAGGTCATTTATCAGATCCCTATTTTTCTACTATTTTCTATATAAAATCCGGATAGACAGGAATGCATGTTTAAGAATGTAAATCATGACAAGTTCTATAATTTATGATTTCGGTAATGGACTCACAGAATTAACAGGGGATAGAATACACAGTGCCCGCTCCAGTCTTGGTGGAAACTCAGATTTTAAGTTTTGATTAGGAATTGAGTTGTTCACTGGTATAGCCTAGGCGCTGGATGGCTGTTGTGTTATCACTGGATTAAGGATAAATGGCTTCTAATATATAATTCTTAGGGTATGCCCCCAGGGTCAACTCAACAGTGTCCTCCATAGCTATGTGCCCATCATGAGTATAACTTTTCATCTATGATACCAATGAGCGAGAGCGAGAGCGAGCTGTAACTTCAACTTAATTCATCTATATTTTTTCATTTTTCATTTTCTAAACTTATTCTAAGTTGATATCTTACTCTATGTAAAATCATAATTAAGTTTCTGCATAGTTTAGTCAGTTCAATAATATTCCAATATCAATCAATTATGCCAAGAAGCTAGCAAAATGAGAAAAGACTAAAATGTAGCATATTTTTCAAAACAAAAAATGCAAAAAGAATAACTAAATTGACATGACAGCATTGAAGAGTCTGACCTATGCTTATTGAGTTCGGCCAACAAAGCACTCTGCTTTGCTGCATCCATTGGATTTGCAACCGCTTCTCGTGGCGCCAAAAAGGCCACCAATTGAACCAATTCGACAACAAGACCTTCTCTAATCCAAAAATCATTGCGAATGAAGTTGTTATCGAAAAAAATGGAATCGGAGGTCGAATTGAGATTGTCAGGATGCAATGTAGAATTGGAAACAAGACGGTGGCGGCGAAATCAAGAAGTTGAATGGAGTGAAGAGAGAGAAGTAGAGCGGCGGTGAGTAGTAGAGAGAGAAAGTTGAAGATGCTTAGAGGAGGAATATAGGTGAGGGAGTGAATGTTTGCAGAAGAGAGAAGCTTGGAGAGCAGTCATGGCTTTAGCTAGGGTTTATTAAGGATTCTTTCAATCCACTCTCTCTCCTCTCTCTTTCTTTGGAGCAGTATCGCAGCAAGTTTTGACAACAGAAAATGCTAGGGAGTTTTCGTCCGCTGCAAAAGGAGAGACACTTGAATAATTACCATAATATATAAGAATGTAACTAAGCACACGGTTTTGGAGGTTTTGTGAATGATACCTCCAACTTGGATTATGTTTGACAAATGTTTTTTTAACAGTTTTTTATAATCATCTGAGATGATTATGTGTGGATTTTCAGAAATTATTATTTTGGTTCAATTTTCAGGTTTCATTGAAATTTTTATATTTTGTGGAATTTTAACAACAATGAAAATGATGATTATGAGTGTGATTTTGATTTTTTTTTTTTTAAGTATATTTGTTTTGTTCAATTTGTATATTTCATTATAGTGTTTGAAACTTGCGAAATTCAATGAAATAAATGAAAAAAAACATACTATTTTTTTTGTCATTAAATTTTTTTAAAACAACTGTGTGTGTGTTTTTTTTTTTTTTAAATTTTAATAATGGGCAGGTTTTTGTATATTTGTTTTATTGAAATTCATTTATTTGGGTCAACTTTTAGATCCATATCTACAAAAATTAGAATTATTTTTTTTTTGTTAAGTTTCGAATTTTTCTCCATAATTTTAGAATTTAGAATTATACTAAGATGAACAATAAGAAGGCAAATATCCCAATTTGATTTAAAGAAATTCTTTAGCCACAACTGCAGATAATGTTGGTGCAGCAATATGTGCTCAAGGTGTTGAGAGGTGAATTAGTAGACATGACAAATGATGCATGGCAAGAGCATCATGTAAAATGCTTTCACCATTTGATTGTGACTGGAAATGTGTTATTTTCACATTGATGACAAGAAACTGATTTTGATATTGTGATATGAGAAATTCTACAAAACCAAGTCTTTGAAATACCAAATCTTGGATTTTTGTAAGAAGGGACTATATACCTAAATGGAAAAAAATAGGAATAAGCACTTAGTTAAGTTAAAGTCTTGACAGTAAACAAAGCACTCTGCTTTGCTGTGTCCATTGGATTTGCAACTGCTTCTCTTGGCGCCAAAAAGGCCACCAATTGAACCAATCCGACAACAAGACCTTCTCTAATCCAAAAATCATTGCGAATGAAGTTGTTATCGGAAAAAGTGGAATCGGAGGTTGAATTGAGATTGTCAGGATGCAATGTAGAATTGGAATTGTCATGTTCTGAGTAAAATGGAATGTACTAACCTATCTAGGACACATTGTTGTTTTGTAATGTTTATTATGCCTTTGTATTTCTAGGAGTGTGCTTCCTAAAAATGCTCTTTTGGTTTCTGAATTATATAATTTATGTATACACATACATAATTCATGTATTTGTTTGTATTGTTTAAAAAACAGAGGAGCAGAGAGATGAAAAGATGATTGAGAGGGCTTATAAAAAGCTTGCTCTTGATGCTTTAGTGATCCAACAAGGGCGATTAGCAGAACAAAAGAGTAATTTGTTTTTGTAGAGGTTACCTTATCATGAATTTATATTCAAATTAATGTGAGTAAAATACTTTGATAGTTTATTGATTATTTTTTAATTTGTTTTGGCAGCTGTTAACAAAGATAAGCTGCTGCAAATGGTGAGGTTTGGTGCTGAAATGGTTTTCAATTCTAAGGATAGCACAATTACCGATGAGGATATAGATCGGATCATTACTAAAGGAGAAGAGGCAACAACTGAGCTTGATGCTAAGATGAAGAAGTTTGCTGAAGATGCAATCAAATTCAAAATGGATGACAGTATGTGGATTGATATCGAGATTTATTTATTAAACATTTTTTACTTTATGCTTGTAACTGAGGCTAAGTGTAACCTGTCTGGGTTTTCGCAACTGCTGATCTATATGATTTTGATGATGAAAAGGTACAGATCATTCTTGCACATGTTCAGCTGTTGCTCTGGACTTCTATTACCAAAATATCATGATTCGCGATTCGATTCGCAATTTGTTTATCTTTTGGTTAATGTTGTTTGAAGTAAAATACTTTGATTTGATTACTTTTTAATTTGTTTTGGCAGCTGTTAACAAAGATGAGCTGCTGCAAATGGTGAGGTTTGGTGCTGAAATGGTTTTCAGTTCTAAGGATAGCACAATTACCGATGAGGATATAGATCGGATCATTGCTAAAGGAGAAGAGGCAACAGCTGAGCTTGATGCTAAGATGAAGAAGTTTGCTAAAGATGCAATCAAATTCAAAATGGATGACAGTATGTGGATTGGTATCGAGATTTATTTATTAAACATTTTTTTACTTTATGCTTTTGCAACTGAGGCTAAGTGCAACTTGTCTGGGTTTTCGCTGCTGCTGATCTATATGATTTTGATGATGAAAAGGTACAGATCATTCTTGCACATGTTCGGCTATTACTCTGGACTTCTATTACCAAAATATCATGAATCGCGATTCGATTCGCAATTTGTTTATCTTTTGGTTAATGTTGTTTGAAGTAGATTTCTATTTATTTTTTTTTCATTCTTTGTTTAATTTTGATGAAGGATGACAACAAGTTGGACTTTAAGAAAATTGTCAGTGACAATTGGCTTGAACCACCAAAAAGTGAGAGAAAGCGCAAGTAATAGTCATGTTTCAGTTAGAATATCTAGGTTTATACATATCTATTGGTCTAATATCTGGGTCTATCTGGGTTTAGAATTTGAGTTAGTTTATACCCAAATCTTGCACATACCCAAATCTTTTTTTTTTTTAGAACAAAACACAGCAACACAAATATATTAAGCTAAACAGAGTGGCTTACAGCAGTTACAAGAAGGTGAGCATCTTGAACTACATCTCGCTCCACCTTCTCTAAGACAACATGATGAAACAATTTACAATAATACAATATATCAATCAAAATGGATTGGAGTCTCCAATCATGGGCTTGATCGTGGTTTTGGAATAACAATACTAGGACTAAGCAGTCCGTTTGTAAGAGCAGACTGGTAATGCTGTATTTGGTATACCCAAATCTTGGTTAACACTCTGGTTGACTTGGTTAACACTATGGTTCTCTCTTTCATTCATTCATCTAATATCTGGGTTTGTATCTGTTATGGAGTTTGTATTCATTTGTATTCAAAAGTTTGTGTTTGTGTTTGTGATATGGGTTTCTATATTCATCTGATATGTGATATGAATTTGTATTCATTTGTATTGGAGGGGTTTATAGTTTATACATATCTAACTGGAGGGGTTTTCATCTGATATGTTTTCATTTCTATATCTATATGTATTGGGTTTCTATGTTTTAGATTGCTCTAAGAGGGGTTTATAGTATACATATATGCTACATACTGTAAATACCCATATGAATGTATTGGGTTTTCATTTCTATATAGTGTATTCATATGAATGTAAATATATAGTGTAAATACCCATATAGTGTATTCATCTGATATGTTTTCATTTCTATATCTATATGTATTGGGTTTCTATGTAAATACCCATATTGCTCTAAGAGGGGTTTATAGTATACATATATGCTACATACTGTAAATACCCATATGAATGTGTTTAGATTGAAATTGACATTGACAATTATAGTATACAATGAAATTGACATTGACAATTATACTGTTTATAGTATACATATATGCAACATCTGCTCTAAAAGGGGTTCATGTGAATTGAAATTGACAATTACAAATTGAATTGATAATTTAGATTGTTAATTTAGATTGTTAATCTAAGAATAATTTATGTGACCAAAAATAAAAAATAAAAACTAAACACCATATCAAAACTTCACCTAATGATGTAAAAGTTTTTTTTTTTTAAGTTATAGAACATGGTATTCATAATACAAATTTAAAACGAACCTACAATTAATTTTGATGAAATGGACTTGATGTCCAGTAACCTACCTTCCTTTGTTGCTCTAAACTGATAGCAACTTATATGGGTTGCTCTAACCATCTATATAATAAAGCAGATTCGTTTTCTTCTCTTAATTTTTTGACTTTCACTCTGCTTCTGTTTTTAATTAAATACTCTCACATGCAAATACTTCAATTGTTGATGTTTATGGTTTTTCATCATTTCATGTCTGCTCAAATTTATATACTTCAATAGTTTTATCTGACGACTATAAGTATAAGTTTTGTTAGTGTTTCACCTTTCTCTTTGTGCCAAAGTTTTAATAATAATGTTGCATTTATGTTCTGTATAAATGCACTAATCCTTAATAAATAGAAATATTTATTTGACACATCTTGAAAGATAACTTCTTCTTTTTTTCTTTCAAGTAGCTTTAATTGTTTTCCTTTCCCATATTGGAAGTTTTGTACCTGCAGATGTTGCTACTGTGGGTTTGATTGACAGGTTCGATTTTTATATCCCTGGCCTTTTGGTATCATTAATTTTTTTGGTACTGCATTTTGCATATTTTACTACGAGAACTTACCAGAATTCCAAAAAATAGGATATTTTGTGCCATGGGAAGCAAATTTATGAATGCTGAACAATCAACATTTGTGATTGATCTACATCAAGTTGGAATGATGCTAAGGTATAGTTACACAGTTTTCTCTTAACCTACTAATAATGGACATGGGATTGACATTGTTATCTTGCTGCCATAATTGAAAGTGGGGTTCAAGTGCCAATTAATCGAGGGTTATCGCCAATTAATTTGTTTCTTTGCTTCTGTTTAAATTTTGAATTCCTAAAGTATCTTAGAGATTGTTGAGTTTATGTAAGATTGATGCTGAGTTAAAACTCTTCCTCTGAAGTTCTTGGTTTTTGTTTTTGAGGTGGAAAGAGCTTCATTTCATCATTTTATAGTGTGGGTTATACAGTATATTTGGATTGGAGGTTGTTCACTTTATATGAGATTGATGTTGAGTTGAATTCTTCATCTTTTGTGTATGTTATCATATTTATTAAGTGAGTTTTTTTTTTCTTTTTTTTTGTGTGTGTGTGTGTGTGTATTTTCTAGCTTAGAGTTGATTTTAGCTTTATTTACTTTTGTTTATATCTTAGATATTGTTGAGTTTATGTAAGATTGATGTTGAGTTAAAACTCTTTCTTTTCGTGTACGAAATCAAAGTCCTAAATTTCGAACTGGCAAGGTAAGATTGTTTGTTTTGATTTTGGTTGCTTTGATCACTGTTGTTTTGATTTTGAAATTAGAAATTACAAAGAAAGTGTTTTTCGGATAATTTACTTTTGGTGCATTTTTTGGTTGCTGAGATTTTAAAGGAAAAAAAAAAAGGGGAAAAACAATTTGGGGTTTTGGTGACCGAAGTTCATATTTTTTTTATAAAAAAAAAAAAAATTGTATTTTCAACATTTTGTTAGTAACTGAATAGATTTTAACTCAATACTCCTGTTTATACTGTAGAACACGAGATTCAATGTTAAACATGATTGCTAAATATGTAGGACATGAGATTTCCTTTTGGAGAATATGAGATTACAAATTTGAAATTACAGTTTTAACTTAGTACTCCTGTTTATACTATATATGTATGAAATTGCAGTTTGAAATTACCCTTCGAACTCGCACTCGCAAGGTAAGATTGAGAATTGTTTTAGTCTTTTTTTCCGCTTGAGAATTGTTTCAATATTTTTTGTTTATTTTTATTTCCTATTTTTTGGTAATTCTTATTATTTAAAAATAAATAAAGTCTAAAAATGAAATTAAATCGCGTGTGTTTCATCATCTAATTTTGCTTCTCTAATTCCACCTCTAATGATGTAGAATTAAAGAGGCTAATTCTTTATAAGTTTTTTAAGAAGAAGAATACTTCTTTATATTTTTTCAATATCTTTATCAAAAGTTGACAAGACTCTACAAATTTGAACATGATATATATAAATTACAATTACATTTTAATCTCAACATTATTTATACCGTGCCTTTAAACACGGACATACACTAATCCTTTTATAATTCTCAATCAATTATATCGGTAGCACATTATTAAATTTAAAAAATAGACCTAGAAAGTCATTTTCCTTTCCAAACTGGTGAGTAATAACTACCCCATCATTTCGCTTTCTTATGGCCTATCTGCAAGAAAGAGATCACCCAAAGAACCCATCACATGCCAAACTTTCTATCTCTCTCTCCATATTCAAATCCTAGAGGGGGTGTTTTTGGCAACTTGATAAAAAGTGAGTTTTTTTGACTCCTTATCAAGTTCTCTAAAAAAAAAAAAAAATTTATAAAAAATCAATTTTTTATCAAAAAAATTACTAAAAAAGTTAATTTTTTATCCACTTTTCAAAACACCTGTGCTCTACACATATATATCTATAGACACATCTATTGAGTTAGAGAAAGAGAAAGAGAGAGTGAAAGTATGGAAGAAGAAGGTGTGTTGTTATTGAAAGAGGGAGAAAAGAAAGGGGGTGGTTTAGTAACATGGAGTGTGTTTGGTGAGGAGGTGAAGAGGTTGGGTTGCATAGCTGCACCCATGGTGGCTGTGACACTATCACAGTACTTGTTGCAAGTTGTATCCATCATGATGGTCGGTCACCTTGGCGAACTTTCTCTATCTAGCACCGCCATAGCCATCTCTCTCTCCAGTGTCACGGGCTTCAGTCTTCTTGTAAGCCATCTTTCTTTGTCAGTGATCTTCTATTCTCAAATTTTTTAGAATTACTTGAGTTAATATTAAAGTATCAAAATTTTATAATTCATTGAGTACGAATATTTTAAAGGAATAATAATTTAGCCTTTTTTTTCTGTCTTCTAGCTTGTTATTGTTTGTATACTAGTGCTAAACTCACAGCTGGAGGCATGAGAGTCGCATGCATTGAGGTTCCTTTCAATTGCAACCTGTATATATGTTGAACTGATTGTGTCATTTTGTGGCATTGTCCCAGGAGTATGGAATAGTTTTCCATTTTTTTAAGGGCTTGTATAACTCTCTCTTTATTTTTTATTTTGCTGTTTTAGTGATGACCACAAAGAAAAAGTATTCAATTATTGAGGTTATGAATTTAACTTTTAGGGTAATCATTATATTATGTCAAAGATTAAATATACATTTAATATTTTCTCTTCTAAACATATAATAATGACTATTAATTAAACATTATTTTTAGTCATTTAAAGGTGATGTCCATTCCTTTCTTTTGAAAAAAAAAAAATTATGTCCATTGATATCATTTTTGAAAGTTTTTTGGGACAAACTTTTTTCAAAGAGTTATCACGTTAATTATTATTTTATGATTGTGGGTCCATAAAATAATAATTAACGTTGGGATGAAAAATGACTTTTTTTTAAAGAGTTATCATGTTATTTTAATTTTTGTATTTAGAGAGGTAATTTATTTATTTTTATTGAATTGTTATATTAAAAATAGTGTTTGACGTGATGTTTGGATGAAAAATGACTAAATTGCCCCTCAGACAACCCTTCTGTTTTTTTTTCTTTTTTTTCTCCGGTTGGTGTGTTATTCAATGCTTAGGGGCAAAAAATCTCCTGTTGGTGTGTTATTCAATGCTTAGGGGCAAAACCGACATTTCATTACCTATGGTGACAGTTCTCCCAAGGCACGTAATTCACTTTTGTTTATGAAAAATACTTGGGAATATTAAAAAGGGATCACTAGAAAAAGCACTAAGGATGTGGTAGTGGGTCCTACCCACTTTCTATGTCTTATTTTTATTTTATTTATTTTTTGTTGTCATTTTTAATGTATTAGTGCTATTAGTGGTGTATTTTTTAGTGGTCTAAATCATTATTATTTATATATATATATATATATATATTTTTTGCTTTTAGGCTATTTTCACTCTTAAACTAACTTTCCGACAACACCTAAGAAGTTAAAAAACTTGAGGATAAAATATAAATACATTTTTAATTTTAAAAATTATATTTCACCTTTAAGATTTTTATTTCATAACAAATCATATTTTTTATTAATAAATTATTAAGTTAATTAACAGTTTTTATGATATTAGAAATATGCTTTAATTAATAACTTAAATAATTATATTATTATATAAGAGAGTAATTATCAATTTTATTTTTTTAGTTAATTTTATTAAATAAAAAATTCTAATAATAAAATATTTATAATTTTTTAAACTATAAAAAATAACTTGTATTTTGAACAAAAACAATATATTATTTGTAATTTATCCAAAATTTTTGATTAACAATAAAAATAAAAATAAAAACTGTCACTCAGAGCCTTAGAAACCAAGCAAAGTGAAAGAATTGGTCAGATTTTGAACAGTCAGCTCATTGGTGACATTTTTCTTGGAATTTTCCAAGAAAACCACTCTTTTGTCATTATGCCACTTTTTTTAATTTGTCAATATACATTGCACCCAATACTTTCCAAAAAAAAAATTGTTATGAATCTCAAATTTTTTATTAAATGAATGGTTAAATATCTCATATGAATATAAAATCTATTTTTATAGACCTCACATATTTAATCATTTATTTAGTAAAAAAATCTTATTTAATAAAAAAATTAGTATCCTTAATAGTATTTTTTTTAGAGTAATGATTCATCCCCCCTTTTTCCCCACCCCCTTTGACCCCCTCTCTCTCTCATTGGTTACCTTTTCTTTCTCTTTTTCTTTTTTTTCCTGCTCCTCCAATCACCCCCGCCACGTGGCAAAGGGGGGTGAGGGGTGACCCCCAAAAGGGGGTCCCAAACATTATTCTTTCAAAAAAATCAAAAAGCTAAAAAGCCAACCCACTTCCCACACGGAGGCTTAGTCAAGTAAACAAAGATGCCCCTTTGAATTTTTTATAATTTTTTTTTTTTTTACTATTGTTCATTTTTGTCAAATTTTATGAGTAGATTATTCAAAAAAAAAAATTTATTGATTCGATAATTATAGTTATATAATTTTATTATATTTATTTTTAAAAAATAAACATCAATTATAATTTTAAAAATACACAATTATTTTTTAAAACAAATATAATAACAATTATCAGATCAATATGATATTTTTTTGATAAATGACCTACACAAAAAATGAGACTCCATGGGTCCTATGATAACGTCATGAGATCCAATAACACCCTCCAATCCACTAAAGACAAATCTAAGCCTTTGTTTTTTATTATATATATATATATATCAAACTCAAGTATTTGTAAACTTAATTGAAATTATTTTTTTTTTTAAATGCGATTTTATTAAAGTCATTTTTAAAATATGATTTTAATTAACTTTTTCAAAAATATTTTAAAGTCACGTTTTAAAAAAAGAAACCTCAAAAAAATAACTTGAAGTTGGGAAATAAATTCAGAACAACTTACATTTTAAAAAAAACACACATTATCATTAAGGTCGCGTTTTTAAAATACGACTTTAGCCCCAGTTTGGTTTAAGGTTGGGACTAAATAAGCACATATGGACCAAAAAAAAAAAGTTACAAAATTACAAAAACACTTGACTTTTGATGCAAAATTACCAATTTGACCCATATACAAACAAAAAGTCAAAAAAGCCTCATTTCCAAGTGAAGAGCAATTTTGTCATTCTAATGCAACAAAGCCAAACAAGAAAACCAAACAAACAAAAAAGTCTTAGGCTAAAAAAATAAAAATAAAAAGCCAAAAAAACCAACATTGCCGAACGATTAACTGCTTTAAAAACATTTTAAAGTCGCGTTTTAAAAGTAAGACCTCAAAAAAACAACATGAAGTTAGGAAATAAATTTAGAACAACTTACATTTAAAATAAATAAATTATTAAAGAACTCAAATTTGGTAAATGAGCAGTGGATAAACTCATTTTAGTACTTCAGTTCTAATAATCAGTTACAAGCATTTATATAATGATTACATGTTTTGTGAAATCATTTCATATGTTATATTTCAATTCAGGACTGAAAAATATAGTTTGTTGAGCTATCAACAATGACCAACAAACTTAAAATTACAATTACATACATACAAGAGATACTTATATTATATGAAATATGATGAATGGATTAAAGGATTCAATTAATGTTACCTAATCACTACAAGAAAAAGTATTTTTGGCGACTAAAACTTCATTTTTTGTCACTGAAAGTAGTAGAACTGGCGACTAAAAGAGTTTAGTTGCCGAATACAGGGGTTTTAGCGACTAAAAGGCAGTTTAGTCGCTGATTGTAGGGGTTTTAGCGACTAAAGGTTGTTTAGTAGCCAAAAGTGACGGCTTTTGGCAACTAAAATAATTTAATAGCCAAAAGTGATGGTTTTGGCGACTAAAAAACATTCTCGTCGCCGATTATAGGTGTTTTGCCGACTAAAAACAGATTGGTCGCTGAAAATGAAGCTTTTTGGCTACAAAAAAAAATAGTAGCTAAAAACAGTCAATTGGCGACTAAAATTCAGTTTAGTAGCCAAAAGGATAAATTAAATCTAAAATACTCTTTTTATGCCGATTTTCCTTAATAAAAATAGGTGAATGGTTTAAATTAAAAATAAACCAAAAAATTGAGATTTAAATTAACAAAATTAAAAATTCATAATTTATTTTATTACAAGACTTAAACCTCGAATTCTTTTTGTAATTATCCCCAAAATTTATTATCCGCAACTTTATTATTGAATGATAATATTAAGCCTTGATTTGGTTTTCCTCCCAGGCTATATAATCACCATATGAACAAAAAAAAAAGCTACAAAATTACAAAATGACAAAAACACTTGACTTTTGATGCAAAATTATCAATTTGACCCATATACAAACAAAAAGTCAAAAAAGCCTCATTTCCAAGTGAAGGGCAATTTTGTCATTCTAATGCAACAAAGCCAAACAAGAAAACCAAACGAACAAAAAAATCTCAGCCTAAAATTTTTTTAAAAAAAAGCCAAAAAAACCAACATTGCTGAACGATTAACTGCTTTAAAAACATTTTAAAGTCGCGTTTTAAAAGTAAGACCTCAAAAAAACAACATGAAGTTAGGAAATAAATTTAGAACAACTTACATTTAGAATAAATAAATTATTAAAGAACTCAAATTTGGTAAATGAGCAGTGGATAAACTCATTTTAGTACTTCAGTTCTAATAATCAGTTACAAGCATCTATCTATCTATCTATCTATCTATACTATTATAAAGTGAACATCTCTTATGGTGTCCTGGAGCTTTACTCTCCTCATGCCATGTGGCAGTATTTTTTATTTTTTAAAAAAAAGTTAAATAAAGAGATGGGTAAGGCTTGAACCCATGACCATGGGTTTAAGTACGAGGACTCATACCACTTAAGCTAAGTACACATTATAATATTAATTTTATTATTATTTTTTTTTATTCCTACTTATTTAAATTGCACCCACTTAACTAGCACACAATATATGATAAATATTTTATTTTATTTATATTTATTTGAATTGCACACGCATCCCGTGTGGCAACCGCTAGTTTATATAATGATTACATGTTTTGTGAAATCATTTCATATGTTATATTTCAATTCAGGACTGAAAAATATAGTTTGTTGAGCTATCAACAATGACCAACAAACTTAAAATTACAATTACATACATACAAGAGATACTTATATTATATGAAATATCATGAATGGATTAAAGGATTCAATTAATGTTACCTAATAGATTGATTTAGTCTTGAATTTTTACTATAACTAACTAGATTTTCTACCTTGTCAAACAGTTAGGGATGGCTAGTGCTTTGGAAACTCTATGTGGACAGGCATATGGAGCTCAACAATACAAAAAACTTGGAACTCAAACTCACACTGCTATTTTCTCCCTCATCATTGTTTGTCTCCCCCTCTCTATAATCTGGATCTATATGGGGAAAATACTCATTTTCATAGGCCAAGACCCTTTAATTTCACGTGAAGCCGGTAAATTCATAATTTGTCTTGTTCCCGCCCTCTTTGCTTATGCGATTCTTCAACCACTTGTCCGATACTTTCAAATGCAAAGTTTGATCATTCCTATGCTCATAAGCTCATGTGCCACTCTTGCTTTCCACATACCTCTTTGTTGGGTTCTAGTGTTCAAGTCCGGATTGAATAACCTTGGAGGTGCGTTGGCGATTGATATTTCAAATTGGTTGAATGTGATCTTTCTCGTTTTGTACATGAAGTACTCTTCTAGCTGTGAAAAAACCCGGGTCCCAATTTCAATGGATGTGGTACGAGGAGTGGGAGAGTTCTTTCGCTTTGCTATTCCTTCTGCTGTTATGATTTGGTAATTTTATTTTGCGAATTTCTTAAATAGAGTTTCAAGGCTTTTGTTTGCTACATATTTCTGATTTTAAATTGTGATGAATGCAGTCTCGAGTGGTGGTCATTTGAGTTTCTTATCTTGTTGTCTGGACTTTTGCCAAATCCAGAGCTCGAAACTTCTGTTCTCTCTGTATGGCATGTGCTCTACCATAATGTTTGATGATGATGATTTGAATGTTCTAAACTATAAATTCAAATTGTGATTTTGAGGTTTAAGATAACTACTCTTAACTTCTTTGTCAATTTCATGAACAGTCTCAATACGATCGCTACACTCTACTCAATACCTTATGGCTTTGGTGCTGCTGTTAGGTATGCTCATGCAATATGTGCACTTGTACATGTAAAAAATGTTTTCTCCACATAATAATGTATGATGCCAATCTAATAGTTCTTTTTTTTTTTTTTTTTCTTTAGCACTAGAGTTTCAAACGAATTAGGAGCTGGGAACCCACAAGGGGCACGTATAGCTGTATTTGCCGTGATGTTCCTTACAATCACAGAGACTACAATAGTGAGTGCAACCCTCTTTGCCACCCGAAGCATTTTTGGCTATACTTTTAGCAATGAGAAAGAAGTTGTGGATTATGTCACAGCCATGGCGCCTCTAGTTTGCCTATCGGTTATATTGGACAGCATACAAGGGGTCCTTTCAGGTTATAAATTTTGCCCCTCAACGTCTATCTAGTATTTAATATATTTGAATTTTAAATGATAATATCTTGTTACACTAGCTAACTCTTCTTCTTCTTCTTCTTATTTATTTATTTTTTTCAATTAGGTGTTGCAAGGGGATGTGGGTGGCAACACATAGGGGCTTATGTCAACCTTGGAGCATTCTATCTGGTTGGAATTCCTATTGCTGCCATATTGGGTTTTTGGGTACAATTAAGAGGAAAAGGCTTGTGGATTGGAATACAAGTTGGTGCTATTGTGCAATCAATTATGCTTTTTCTAATAACAAGTTTCACAAATTGGGAAAAACAGGTCCATTTTCTATCTCACATCTCTTCAAGCTATTTATTTGGTTTAACTGGACAAAACATTTGAAAAGCAATCGCTTGACTAAGGAAAAATTAAAGGAGAAAAAATGTGGAATGTTGAAAGTCAATTTCTATCCATGGAGATCCCAATTTTCTTTCACTTTCTTCATTCGTTTTAGCAAATGAATGGAGTACCAACAATTATGAAATGGGTACTGTTTTTATTTTTTATTTTTTAATAATTTGATTCATATAAGATATTATTACAATGAAACCTAATGAATTACAATCATAATAATGAAAATCAAATATAATATAA